TCGCGATCTTGATATTTTTGAAAAACCAGAAGTCTCACAATAAGGCGGAGCTAAGTACAACCGATCAAACATATATGGTTGACCAAATTGTTACAATTAAATGTAATTACCTAAAACCACACTCTGAAATGGTTTGATGTCCAAAACCCCCCAGAGAAAATCCAAATTGGACAAAGCCGTAGTAGAACAGAGAACATAAACTTGTTAGGGAAATGTTAACTATAATAAATCAAGTGAGACATTTTCTCATAGACTTCTCTACAATCGGACTTCTTTTTAAAGCCAGTGGAGATAAAGTATGCTAGTTTAAAGGGATAGTCTGGGTCTTTTGAAGTGGGGTTGTATAAGACTATAGCCGGGTTTTACCGAGAGTACATGTTGGTAGGCAGAGCCGGCCCGACCCATTAAGCGACCGCTTAGGGCCCCGCAGCCACTAAGGGGCCCCCTAGAAGAAAAAAAAAAAGAGAAAAAAAAAAAGATCTTAGTACACCGTCGCCGTGATAAGTATGTTTAATTAATTGTGTTAATATGCCTAGATTGCCTACTCTCAAAGTCATGTATTATATTATTGAGTCAATAATATAATACATTAACCGTGCTTTACCTGAACCTCATCATGACACTAGAGAGGACGGCAGAATTGTAATTTCCCGTGTTCAGTGAATGCAACAGAGGCAAGACACCAGACCAACCAGAGAGTTGAATGGAAATAAACATCTGTCTTATTGGCTGACAGGTACCTATCCTGTGAGCTGTGACAATGTTTAAAATAAACTGTCAGTCGGACTCAGAGTTTTTGAAGATGGACATAAGAACATATTTTCTTAAAAATGATGACAATTCTCAAGTGGTGGCTCACACAACAACCCCAGAGCCACCACTTGAGCCAGGTAAACAAGGTATGTAAATGTCAGTAAACCTCCAAGTTATGCGAACATGTAAGCAAAGCATAAATTACAGCTACGTTGATGTTACTTCGCGGGGGTAAGCTAAACCGTTAGCAGCTATAGCTAGCCAGATATATTAAATAAACACTTTGTCATACAATCTAAATGTTATGTTTTTTTAGCGTTACCTGGTGATTTCAAAGAAAGCTCTCTGGGAAATGTTGACTTACTGTTCGACATGAAGCTAGAAGCTACCTTACAGTACACAGTTGATCCGGAGTCCTGCCAGTTAAAGTGTTTCATAGTTAGCTTAGCATCAACCTAGCACTGAAATATATGGATGTTATGTGACAGTATTTTTGAGAAAAAGTCAGCTGAAATGGTGGCATAGTTGCCACTGCTTTACGTATCAACAGCATGTTTGAACGTATTAGCGGCAGTAAATGTGGCTGTTTGGCCACTGACGTTGTCATAACAACACCTGAATTTAAATGTGCAACCTCTTTTTGTGACAGATTTGTGCATGAAATGATAATTCTTCTGGATGATATTCCTATTGACATCTAGTTTATATGTGAACATTATGAGATGGACAGCCAGAGAGAATAAATGAAAAACAGTTATGAAATACTATATGACAAAACAAGAATACAGTTTAAGTGATTTGTAAAAATATCCATAAAGAAAAATCTGTTTACAGTTCTGTTTCATATGGGTGTTGAGAGATGTATCCATAGATCTCTTAATTTTGCTCTCAAAGTGCACCATATTGATGCTTTTAACTTCAATATTTAAACAAAAATCTTCCCGGGGGAGCATGCCCCCGGACCCCCTTAGAGGAGGTGAGGACCCCCCTAGAGGATGTTAGGTCCACGGTGTTTACATGCTTATTTATACAATATGTGTGCTTATGCTAACATCATAAGACAAAAGTTGGTTCCGTGTTGTGTGGAGTGAGAACGCGCTAGAGTGAGGGGGGCCCCCAAGCCAAAGCTCGCTTAGGGCCACCAGAAGTCTAGGGCCGGCCCTGTTGGTAGGCATATGAAGAAGCACACAGGAGCACTGGAAACTATGTGATGTACTGATGTGGGCTAAACATAGTTTTTCTAGCCACCAAAAACAAATGCCCTTCTTAAAATAATATCAGTTAGCTTCTGTCTGATCTAAACAATAGGACAACCACACCCAAACAGCAGATCTGTGGCAAAAAAACAATGGATACGTGGAATAAAGAAGTTTCACAATTGAGAAAAGCTGGTACCAAAGTAAAGGTACTTTAAAGTAAATTTGAAGTGGTGATAATAGTCTGTTCTGCGCACATAAGCTGTTTTTGTAAGGTGGCTTTTCTTTTAAGTGAATAAAAACAAATTCTGCTAACAGCAGTAAAGTGCTTTGCTGTCTGTGTCTTCACACTGAGGGAAAAATACCTAATCTCAATACCTCATTCACACCAACGCAACTCTGGTTCAAGCTCCGTGCTAGAGCTTTTCAGGTTCAGAACCGGTTATTCGGTTTAGCTCTAGCTCTTTTCACACCGCCAGAGTCCGACTGGTGCTGCGTCATTGCGTCATCGTTTGCGTCATGACGTAACCGTTTGCGTGCCTGCTTCATAAAGCCAAATCGCGCGGATGAAATCAGTTGCATTCATTTCTTATGGCTCTATCTGCAGCTTTTCCGGAGTCATTTCTGTGGTTTAGTTATATTCTTATAAAAAAGTGTACTTGTGTCAATAAAGGGTTTTTTAAAACACAACTGCTTCCGAGGTCGGTCTTATTTCTTAAGGTGGACTGAACCATGAGTGTGGAGTAACGTTGTATCTTTCATTTAAATGAACTGTAACCTTCACCCAGGTATGTAACAGATGTTCTCAAATGAACAAGTGAAGTAAAGTTTAATATTTATAGTTTTAGATTTATAATGAGTTATAATCGGAGGTGATCAACGTGAATGCGGGTAAAAGTTATGTGAATATGGGGTGACGTATATGGCCACTTGAGCACCAGCAAGACCCCCACCTCCATAACCTTGTGCACCAGGCGAACCTGAAACACTGTTGGTGTGAATGAGGTGTCAAACTCACAGAAATGTCACCCAACCAGAGAGGGCATATGATTTTCATGGGAGGGCACACAAAACCGTCAAGGGTAGCTTGACGTTTCATAGAGGGTGCTCAAAAATGTAGGGTTTCCCATTAAGGTACCGGGCGCTACAGTGGAATTTTCTACTGCAACACTCCCCACACGCACACAGTACAGCCGCGACTGTTACGAAGGCTCGATAATCAGCTCACGGCAGGGGTAAAGTGCTATTTTTACAAGTGGGGGGTGGACCTAACCTCCTCTAGGGGGGTCCTGGGGCATGCTCCCCCGGGAAGATTTTTTTTGAATATTGAATTAAAAGCATCAATCTGGTGCATTAAGAGATCTATGGATATCTCTCAACACCCATATGAAACAGAACTGTAAACAGATTTACTTTTTCTTTATGGATATTTTACAAATCACTCCCCTTTTAAACTGTATTCTTGTTTTACTGTCATATAGTATTTCATACCTGTTTTTCATATATTACTCTTATATTACTATCTGACATTGCATACATCGTAGCCTTAAAGTTCACTGTTTATTTATAATTAAAAAAATTAAAATACTTTTTTTTCAATGTATAAATAAAATAAAACGTGTTTATTGGGGGAGGGCAGGAATGTCAAATGGGAGGTCCTGGCCCACGGCGCCGGGTCTGCACTCAACTATGCCTTCCCTTTAGCTCGACTTAGTATTTTAACATCTTTCACTTGTTGCTTTGCCTTTTGCCATTTCAAGTTTTAGCAATCTCAACTTATTTTCTAAATTCACCAGGCAGCTGTTGAGAGATTGTTTGATTAAAACATTGTACAACATACCTGCCCAGCACTAAACCTGGAGTAAGTCTAATAAGCTTCACAAAATTACCAGCTGGTAAACATCACAGCACATTTGGCAGTTTTGGAGACAGATATTCACCTCAGGAGGTGGTGGGGACCAAAAACAGACCTAAAAGCTGAGTGAATGTTGGACCTTTGTTTATTTGGTCATTAGTGCTACAGACTTTAAAGAACAACTATTGTGCTAATTTCACAGATCATTCAGGTTCATATTTGTATTCTGTGCCTCTGTGACATGTCTCCATGCTTAAATGTTCAAAAAGCTCTTTATTTTTCTCATATCTCATATACTACCTTGTGATTGGTCAACCGCATAGAAATGTCCTGCCCCTGGCACGTATAAGATGTTGGAGCGCTAGCCAATAGAGCAAGTGTTACAAAGTGAAAGGAAAAAGCCTACAAAGCATAATACAGCCCCTTTAAGCAATGATTGACACATTTTTAAGATAAGTTAAAAGGTTAGACAGGTACTTAAATACATCATCTTTCAACTGCTTGTCCATGTTACAGCATTTTCAGTGGACTGAAACATTTTTTGAACACCAAAAGGACACTGTTGGTTTAAAAGTTAATAAAAAGCAGTCGTTTTTTGAGTGGAAGGGAAACTGGGAAAATGTGCAGTTGGTCTAGGATCCAGAAAGTTCTGAACCAAACGCTACATGAAATGAGCAAGAAGAACAGAGGAGCAACCATTAGCTCGCTTCAAAGTTGTATGCCAATCCCAAACAAGCCTTTAAAGAACCCAAACTCAAGTGAAAGTTTCAAGACTATTTGACATATCAAAAATGTCAAGCTCCGCTGAAGCAGCTTTAGTGGTTTATTATCAATAGCATCAAATATTGTAATATGGGTCATTGTGGCAAGATCAGCTTTTACAAGATGGCTGTCAACAGAATCCCTTGGGTGGGTATTTGTCTAACTTTGCAAGCTAATATATAAACGTGCGTATTAACCTACCATGGGTTAATAATCTACACACAGAATAAATAGACGACTTGAGTTGAATACTCGATTCTGAATCTTCGATTTGGACATGGCAGAGTTTGTAAATTCTTGTTAGCAGACCGTTGCTAAGGAGGATCAAGGGACTATTTGTACTCATATCAATCCGCAGAAAGAAGTCCGGTAAGTTAAATGTAAGCTATGGACAAAAACATTAGTTTTCCCAATCAGAAAACACCATACAATACTTTTTGATACTAATTTTTTTTTTTTTTTTAATGTAGAGAACAAAACTTTGGATTAACGATTGCTAAAATGTCCCCAGAAAAGAAAAGATGTTAAAACCAATGACCATCAGAGAAATCAACAGAAAAAGTCAGACAGGAGGTAATGCTAAAGCGAACAGCAGAAGAAGACAGACAAGGAAACATTGATGGGAACACGATATGGACTCCGTTTAAAGACAGGTTAGCGTAAAAGAAAGCCGTTGGTACACAGTGGAGCGGACAATTCTTTCCTAGCTCACGCAATTTGATCATTCTTAAATCTATATTGTGAAGTCTTCAGATTATTTAGTATGTATCTGTGTAATAACCGTGTAATAAGCGATACATACCTACTTATATCATATTAATGTCTTGGACTTGGTATAATTAAACCGAATCACTTAAACATTTATAGAATTTATATTTCTATATTGGTTTGGTGATAAAAGACACACACACAGAAGTAAAACTAAAATAAGGGATACCTGAATTTACATTTTTAAGTGCATTTAATATAAAGATTACACAAACGGAGACAGCTGTAGCTTGAATACAGCATAAGAGAAAAAACAGACATACAATTATAAAATAAAATAAATAGAAAGTGATAAAATAAACCAAAAAAGAGTCTTCAAAAAATAAATATGTACAGTGACGCAGCACTCCTTAGACATACACACAGATACTTTGTTAAAAGATATTTAAAAAACGTGGATGGCTGTTAAGAGAACTAGCGCTTAAGAACTTGAATTCCTCTCAACTGAATCTCTTAAATGTTAAAATAGAAGCTTTATAAAATCTGGAAACTATCTCAAGATTACATTTTAAAAGGCAGGTTAATTACAATCACGGGTAATAATATAAATCAGGTGAAATCAAGTCTACCCCACTACGATAAAACAACATTAAATGTCAGTTATTATAAAGGACTCTTCCAGAGTAAGGTAATTAAAAAAACAACAACGTCTACGATTAAATGTGAACCAACTTTCCCCAAGCACATGAAACAAGTATAGAGCGACAGACGGGATGTTTACTTGCTCCATAGTTAGTGTTAACACTGCAAAAAAGGTAACTAAACTGGAAGCTGAACAGATGACGTATTAACCGAAGATGTGACAGTTGAAGTATGTAGACAAAAAAAGTAGATGTGTCAAGGTAATCCAATTACAAGCACAGATAAAAAGCAGAGCATCCTTCATATTTAAGAGTAGATTAAGCCTGTAGCATGGCGGCGTACCGTTCCAGTTAGCTGCTAGCGACAGCGTTGTGCATGTTTGGAAAGATGCACCAAACTGCCTTGTAAGGTGCACATTTCTACCAGTTGAATGGTACGTTCCAGGTTGATGAACAATTGGTCTATTGTTCTAACTCTTCTCCGTCCAAGCTATGAAGCACTTTAACAGTAGCTGGATAATTTTTGACCAAGTTAGACTCGCACAGGTCTATTAGTGGCAGTCAAAGGCAAAGGAAGTGAATAAAAAAAAGAGTATGTGGCCCCTTGTTGGTGCTCAGTGTCTCAGATGAGGTGGGTGGTTGATCGGCTGAAGGTGTGGTACTTCCTCTCAAACATGGAATGCAGGTTGACCATGGAGGGGGAATGGCGAGCCTGTAAATATGAAACAGAGGAACACATAAGAGAAATAACAGTGTGTGTGTGAGGCAGCTGAGAAGAACATGTTAATACCCACATGTGTTGTTAGAGGATCACTGATATTGACATGTATTCTGCCTTCCTACACATCAACAAAGTCCAATCAGGGAAAATACATCAGCAGTAAAGGAGCGAGAAACAGGTTAGTTTTTTTGTGTTAAAAACTAAGGTAAACAGTGCCATTAATACCCCATGCTGTACATTGTTAACATCCTACCCACTCCCCCTGATGTACTATGAGTGTGTGCAGTAGGGCTGCACGTTAAAATTGCACTTTGAAAACTAAATTCAGTTTGATGACCTTTACTTATAAAATGGGTTTGGCTGATATGAAGTTAATAAAATACTAGGGACGTAACGATATACCGAATATCGCGGTAAAAAAACGTCCCAATACCGTTGTGAGACTGACAAAATCTACCGCAATTTTGTTTTTAAATATTTTTTTTTTTTTAAACACCTTTTTTTTTTTTTAACCTTTATTTAACCAGGTGGTCCCATTGAGATCATCGATCTCTTTTTCAAGAGAGACCTGTCCAACATGGCAGCAAGTAGGTTACAACATGAAAATAAAACAACAGAACACAAAAGGACATCGTATTTACAGGGCTACATTTACACACCTAGAGACATTGACAAGTACCAACAGTATATTTATATCTCGCCCTGTCAATAAGCCTCACCTTCTTCACCCATGGCCAAAGCATATCTCTCCGCCCCACTGAGGTGGCGTTAGACTTTTTCACTGTCCGTCATTTTGACAGACAGGATCGTAAAATATCCGTCATAATCCCTTATTACCCGTCGGGTCTATATCATTTCGTTTTGGAGGGCATGCATAACACGGCATAACACCAGAGCCTCGCTGCGGGGAAACGTTGGCGCTGTTCTGAGTTTGTTCTAATCTGTCAAAATGACAGACTGCTTTCATATTTTTCCGTCATTGTTAAATAAAATATTCGGTTAACGCGACCACTGCTGTCCCAGCAACATCAGTACCAAGCGAGAGTTTTTTCTAGAGCAGGGGATATTGTACAGTTGCAAGAAAAAGTATGTGAACCCTTTGGATTCTCCACACATAAGAGGTTTCTCAATACTCAAATTTCCCCTCCTCGACTCCTCCGGTAGTGACCCGGAAATGAATTTCAGCGCGCCATGTTGAAGGACATCTAATTTCTCTTATTGCACTTCGAGGACCGAGCATCGAGGAGGCTCTCTGGAGGAGCTCTAACCGAGGAGACACTGATGCATCCTCCACGGCTCCTCCACGGATGCATTTCCGGGATCGGTGGAGGTGTGACGCACGGCCGGATTTATCTCAGCCAATGACAGCTCTGCATGCATCCCTTGGATATTATATTAGTAACTGCTTTCATCGCAACACGATGTTTACAGAGAGAACAGCTGTGTGGTCCGTGCAGAAAGCAGAGCAGTGTGTAAAATATATATCACTCAGTATAACAAGCCTACATTACTTTCTGTATGTGTATGCTGTAGTTTATTAGATATCTACAAACAAAGAGTCGATATTTTTCTAAGACCATTTAGTGCTTCACATAATAAAATACACAACGGTTGTAGCCTGATTATGCTTTAGGAGCAGTAGGTGTGTGTGGTACAGTGTGTAGGTGTGTGTTGTACAGTGCGTAGATACGGCGGACAGACGGGTCTCAGTTGGTTTGGTGTCCTATGCTTACTTTTAATACTTGTACAACTTTTGGCCCGTAATTTCAATTCCCCATTTCAGTGACCAGAGAGAGGGGTGGGGGGAGGGGGATATATCCAGTCTCTGATTGTGTTACGTTATTATGAGAGTGCTCTCATACTTGTTTGATTCTGAAATTGTATATATTTATATAAATATATGTGTGTGTGTATATGTCCGCATCTGTAGCCTGTTATTGTCGCATTATACCGCACTGTGAATGAATTAAAAGTAAATATATAAGTCATCATGAACACATCTGTCCATCAGACAGAGGGCTGCTGTGCCTCCTGTCATCATTAATGGACGTCTCTTTAAAATGACCGCTCAGAGGAGAGGAGTTCTCATTTCTCTAACCGCCTGCTGCTTCCACTCCTCTCTCCTCAGTCCTCCGCTCGCATCTCCTGTGGGCGGCACCAAGTCTCGAGGAGGGGAGTCGAGGATAGGAGTCGAGGAGGGGAAATTTGAGCATTGAGAAACCTCTATAGCGTTGTGTGTTCCTTCCAAACAACTCAACTTTGGTTTCATCTGTCCACAGAATATTTTGCCAGCACTACTGGCAAAATATTCTGTGGAACATCCAGGTGCTCTTTTGCAAACTTCAAACGTGCAGCAATGTTTTTTCTGGACAGCAGTGGCTTCCTACGTGGTGTCCTCCCATGAACTCCATTCTTGTTCAGTGTTTTACGTATCGTAGATTCGTCAACAGAGATGTTGGCATGTGCCAGAGATTTCTTTAAGTCTCTAGCTGACACTCTAGTGCCCCTTTCACACCAACGCGTTTTCAGCTCCGGCTCGGAGCTGGAGCCTGAAAAGTGCCGGTTTTTCCTGTTCACACCGCAGCGGCGCCGCCTCTTAGCTCCGGAATCCGGTTCACTTCCAGCTCCAAAAATTGTCTATCTAGAGCAGGGGTGCCCAACCTTTTTTGAACCGAGAGCTACTTTTAAAGTTGCCAGTCTGCCGCGATCTACCAGTCCAAATAGAGAGGCGTAGCCATTACTGAGCCTACTACTAGTTAAATACACACTTCTACTTGTATAAAACTGACCTTTGTACGATGAATACTTCCTAAAATACTGCAGATCCTTTATCTTACCTCTTTCTAATCTACACACATACAAGTATTTAACTGAAGTTACACAACAGTGTTGTTGATACAGAGTTGGAGTTTATTCACAAGTCACATACTACAGTGGGTAATGTTTTCAAGAAACATTGAACAGTGCTGCCACATATGACACAAAAATAAAAGACTCTGAACCCTTTCTTTGCCATTATATACAAATAGTGTTGCTACAAAAGTATAAATTAGGCTTACTAATAAGACAACTCAGATCTGAAGCTACACAGGAATCTGCTGCCAAAGTGCAATAAAAAAGACAAAATTAATAGAATCAAACCCTTTTTTGTAGCATTTTAGTAGAGTATAAAAAGAAATAGGATGCAAGCAACACTAGTTTCTTAACCTGAATTGATAATAGACTATAATCAATTTAAGTTTGCATTCTTATACCATTTTGTACAATAATTATAATGAATAAATTCAAACAAACTCAAACTTACAGCTGATTAATAACGGTATCTAACTTGAGTTTTTATTATATCAAAAACCTGTTGAAATGCTACTGTTATTTTTACTGTCCCCCAAAAGCGCATCGGCAGCCTCCAGGAATGCTTCTTACACAACTTCGCCGTCTTTGAAAGACTTGATAAGAACGTGACTGACACGATAAGATGCTATGGGAGCAGCCTTGCTCTTGTTGTTGGGCCTGGTGAAAATGGACTGCTGTGCATTTAGCGGTCCTTTCAGGCCCCTCCCCTTTTGGGAGCGTAGGGCAGAATTAGGAGGGAATTCCGTCTCGTAGCGTTTGTGCACTGTTTTGAAATGCCGCTCCTAAATTACCTTTCTTCGATAAAGCCACGCTCGCATTGCAGATGAGACAGATGGACTTTGAATTGGAATAGATACACAAATAATCATCCTCCCGCTCGGAGTGAAATTATATATTTTGGGCTTTTTTGCTTCTGCCATAATTGCGGTCTTGTGTGTGTGTCACTCCTGTTGACGGTTGACACGGTTGACACGGACAACGTCAGCGAAATAGTGCCCACTGCCCACCAGCCACGCCCCGACACATGGGGTCACGCCGGCCAATCACAAAGCTTTGATGCGTTCAAGTGCATTATTCTGGCACAGGAAGATTATGTTATAGGACATTAACGATAAAACAGAATATGGTTGTTCTATTTTTAGACACATCTCGCGATCGACTGGGAATCTCCCCGCGATCGACCGATGGGCACCCCTGGGCTAGAGCAGTGGTTCTCAAACTTTTTCTGTCAGGCCACCCCTTTGGAGAAAAAAAAAAATCAGGCCCCCCCCAACACAAATAGTCCGGCTCAGTGGCGGCGCCAGAGATTTATTTTGGGGGTGCTGTGGGGTAGCTTGACGTTTCATGGAGGGTGCTCAAACATTTAGGGTTCCCCATTAATGTACCGGGCGCTACAGTGGAATTTTCTACTGCAACACTCCCCACACGCATATACACAATGTACCCGCAACTGTTACAATGAAGGCTCGATAATCAGCTCACGGCATAAGCAGGGGTCAAGTGCTATTTTTATAGGTGGTGTGTGGACCTCACATAGGGGGATTTTTAAATATTGAAGTTAAAAGCATCAATCTGGTGCACTTTGAGAGCAAACTGAAGAGATCTATGGATACATTTCTCAACACCCATTTGAAACAGAACTGTTAACAGATTTACTATTTCTTTATGGATATTTAACAAATTACTCCCCTTTTAAACTTTATTCTTTTTTTTAATGTCTTATAGTATTTCATACCTGTTTTTAATGTATTCTCTTATTTTTTTATAACTATAATGATCATATAAATGTGTGCCTCGGAAATAATTGTTTACTTTAATGGTGACCAAAACGTTTGAGACCCACTGAGATAACACTGAGAGAGCCCTTTAGCTCACTGAGTCTCTCAGTCTGACAGGAGAGGACTCTCCTCCACTTTGTTGTTGAAAAAACTCCTTATATCCGTTAGCGTAGCTCGCTAGCACCAGAAGCTAACAACAATGATCTCCGGCACCGGTGCGCTCTCTCTCGCGCTCACGCACGCACACAAAATGGCTCGTTCCACACGCACACAGAGCCAAGCTTTAATGAAACACAGAGACCCAGACCTAATAGTACTGTATCATATTATTTTCGAATCAATAATTTTTCAAAATATGAT